AGATCACGAAAACAAAACGTGTCTTCTTATTGACAGACTGCAGACTGTAATGTATCTTTGATGATCTTCAAAAACTATGAAATACAAGGACCTTGAAATGGAAAATCTAAAAAATGTAGCACATGAGAACATCAACAATTCCAGTTGTAGTTGGAGCCCTCGGATTGATCGGAAAAGGTCCCGATAGACTAATTGAAGGGATTCCTTAAAGAAATACAAATAAATTGTACTCAAAAGTACAGCACACATTATGAAGGGCTTTATCTATGTAAAGTCTGTGTGATGTTTTTTTTTTTTTTTTGCTTTTGTTTTTTAAAATGCTCAGTGGAAAATGTTATGGTGCCATTTCTGACCTTAGTTCTCTGGTTGGGACCCGGAAAGAAATGACTATATCAAAGGAATAATAATAATAATAATAATAATAATAATAATAATGAAATCGTGAAGTCTCAAAAATGTAGCACATGAGAACATCAACAATTCCAGTTGTAGTTGGAGCCCTCGGATTGATCGGAAAAGGTTCCGATGGACTAAATGAAGGGATTCCGCCCAAGCCTTAAAAAAATACAAAAAATTGTACTCACAAATACAGCTCAAACCTTACTAAACATGTAAACATGTAAATTGTGTGTGATCTTAGAGTGTTTTTTTTTTCTTAATGCTCAGGGGAAAATGTCATGATGACATTTTTGGCCTTTGGTCTATGGTTGGGGCCCGGAAAAAATGTGTATACACCAGAAATCAAAAGAAATAAAATAATAATGATGAAACGTGTCCAAATGAGTATATACTTTAGAACCGCCTTACATTTAATATGAATGGATTCGACGATGTTTTAGAAGCATTCTTTCGAAATGTAAATCCTGGCTGTTATGGTATCCCATAATTCTTCTAGACTGGTTGACAGCATATTCTGGATTCGTATCTCCCTTTTCACCGCCTCCCAAATGTGCTTTATAGGATTGGGATCCGGTGGTTGTAGAGGCGACTTTAAACCTCATAGCTGTGTTCTTATGAAGCAATCTGGCTTTACTTTTGATTTGTGATACCGTGCCCTGTCTGGCTGGGTGTGGCCACCAGATGATGGGTGTATCGTAGCCACAAATTAAGGAACCTGTTCAGCCACAGTACCTGGACAGTTTGCGGTATTGAAAGGATTCCAATATATACCAAGAAAATATGTCCCATACCACTGCACCACCACTAATAGCCTGAGCTGTTTTACCAGACAGAATGGATCCATACATTCTTGTTGTTTTCGCCCTGTCATCCTAATCTCGCAGAAGAATTCGAAACTCGCAGACTAGGCAACGCCATTCAAAGTCTTGTCTAATTTTACTAACCTTTACTGAATTGTAACCTCATTTTCTTCTTTTAATCTAACAGGAATGGCACCCGCTGTGATCTTCAGCTTCAAGGTTCCACGTTGTTGTGCACTTAAAGATGCTCTTTTGTATACCATCGTTGTAACGAGTGTTCAATTGTGCTACTGTTTCCTTTCTATTACCTTGAACCAGTCTGGTCTTTCTCCTCCGACCTCTTTCAGCAACAAGGGATTTCCTCCCAAAGAATTGCAACTCACTGAAATCCCCCAATTTTTGACCATCCCTTCTAAAGCCTGGAAATAGTTATGCATGAAAACCTAGTAGATCAGTAGTTTTTGAAATACATAGACCCTCCCGTTTGGCACCAACAGTCATGCTTCGTCCAAAGTCACTCGAATAACCTTTCCCATACTTGACCATGATTGTTGGTGTGTCATTGGTTTATTAGAAGTGTATTGGTTCGCGTGTATTTAATTAAGTGGCTAGTGATGTATATATTAAGTCCTTTCAGCCTTTCTTCTGTAAGCCAGAATATTAGCTTTTAAGCCTGAATGTTCCAATCTTTGATGGTTATATATTTAATATATATAACACCCTGCCTTTTTGGTGTATTTTCTTTTATTTGCTATGCACAATTTTTTTTTAGTTTTGGATAGAGCTCCGACGAAAGAGGAAAAAAGACCGGTCAAGCATTTTTTGTCCACTTTTTTAGCCTATTTTCTTTCGATTTATCTCTTTACTATACTGTTTGCTATTCTTTCATGTTGTTTGATTTTAATGTCTCGTTTTCTGTTGTAATTTTAAAATTTTTCACCCCTAGTAAAATATTTAAAATTTTACACCTTTAGTAAAATATTTAAAATTTTTCACCCCTAGTAAAATATTTAAAATTTTACACCTTTAGTAAAATATTTAAAATTTTACACCTTTAGTAAAATATTTAAAATTTTACACCCCTAGTAAAATATTTAAAACTTTACACCTTTAGTAAAATATTTAAAATTTTGCACCCCTAGTAAAATATTTAGTTTGTACATTTTAAAGTTAAGAAAATGAATAATCTTCGTTTACTGACTTCGAAAGCAAAGATAATGGAAGAGTTTTGTAGCCAAATTAATGTTTCTAATTTAGACTGAAACAAAAATGGGTTTTTATTGACATCTTGAAATTCAATATCTATGACACTGAGATAAGATCACCAGCTCGAGAGGATATTTTTTAGCCTGTACCAAACCCAAGAGTCAAATCAGGTAGAGGGCTGCAGAGTAAGAGTTTATGGAGATAACGCTTGACCATAGACAAGTTAATATTGTCGTAAATCAAGGAAGCATTTTAAAATTTTGCGCCCCTAGTAAAATATTTAAAACGTTACACCTTTAGTAAAATATTTAAAATTTTGCACCCCTAGTAAAATATTTAAAACGTTACACCTTTAGTAAAATATTTAAAATTTTGCACCCTTAGTAAAATATTTAAAATTTTACACCTTTAGTAAAATACTTAAAATTTTGCACCCCTAGTAAAATACTTAAAAGGTTACACCTTTAGTAAAATATTTAAAATTTTGCACCCTTAGTAAAATATTTAAAATTTTACACCCATAGAGCAACGGTTCGTGGGAAGAAGCTGTTCGAGTGGAATTTACATCTCACCAAAGGAACACGAAGGGAATGGACATGGCATGATGGGTCTTAGCCGTCTAGGTTAGAACTGGTGGAAGTGAGGAATATAGTTTATCCGAACCCTTTTCCCTGGAACTAGCAATAGGGCAGTGAAAGGCTTGCGAGTTTTCGTCTGTGGGAAAAGGGGTTGTAGGGTGGAAAATATTGGGGAAATACTAAGGAGAGAGAAGTCATTTCAGCTCATTTTGCCTAACTGGCGTAACTAGCTTGTGGAAATGTCCCTACAGAACTAAACGGTGATTCATAACTTAAAAAAAAAATTAGGCCAGATTGAATAACCCGGACAGAGAGAACGTCGGACGCCTCCCATGAGTGGTTGAGTGAATAAGCAGGTGACTGAAGTACAGGAATATCTTCGTATTCTAAACTCTTCTGTCTTTTACGCCAGTTTTTTTTTTTCCTTAAAATACTTAAGGCTAGCCCGTGTGCATAGGAGCTGGGGTAGGCACAGGAGAAGGGTCTTAAAAAAAATTGAAAAAGAGAAAATATATAAATATAGAAGTCGGAAAGAGCAAAATAAAAATGGCTGCTTCAACTTCTGTTCATTTTCCCGCGTTAACTTATCACTTGACGCCGCCATATTTCTTTCCCGAACAAAGAAGAATATATAAGTAGAAACACACACACACATATATATATATATATATATGAGAACGGAAAAAGAAGCGGAGAATATATATATATATATATATATATATATATGATCCCGTTCTTTTTTCGTTCTCCTCATTATTCTGCCATTGAATCTTATCTGAGACGTCTGCGATTCGTAAGAAAATTTTCGACACCACTCAAATTCTTTGAGACGGCACCGTTTCTGCGGAAATGAACGGGAAAAAAAAAACAAATAAAAAGAGAAAGAACAGAAATACTATTTTAAAAAAAAAAAAAAAAAATTACATTGAAAAAAAGATATACAGGTACAAAAAGGAACAATAGGAAAAGAAAGTAAATGGATCTAAAAGGTTGCTTTTGAAATTATTGTCACGTGACGCAATGGCGGGAAAATGTGTGGAGATGGATCCTTTTACGCGTCGCCCCGTAATTTGCCATTTTTACGAGCTCTCTTCTCAGAAAGACAAGAAAATAAAATAAAAAATTAAAAAATAAGGGCGCCAGGCCGAAAATTTATTGATTTTTACCGCCCAAAAAAGAATTACTGTGAAGTGGCAAAGAGAGAAAGAGAGAGAGGGGGGATAGAGACAGAGATAGATAGATAGATAGATAGATAGATAGATAGATAGATAGATAGATAGATAGATAGATGTAAAAAATGTGATAGAGAGGTAAAAAGTGAGATAGTAATAAAAAGTAAGAGGAAAAAAGAGAAATATAGAGAGGTATAAAAAGAAAGAAAAACACACAGAGAGGAACAAAGTGGGACAGAGTGAGAGTGATAGAGAGAGACAAATAAGAGAGAGAAAAGAGACAGAGAAGAACAGAGATGAGTGAAAGATAAAGAAAAAAAAAAGAAAGAGTCAGACAAAGAATAAGAAAAGAGAGTGTGTTCGTGTGAGAAGGAGAAGCGACAGAGAGGAAATAGAGACTTTGTCAAAGAGAAATATAGACAGAAAGAAAAGATAGATATAGATAGAGAGAAAAAAGAGAAAGATACAATGAGAGAAAAATGTGAGTGGCAAGGTAACATGAATGAAAAACAATAGAAAAAGAAAGGAAGAAGAAAAAATTAAAGGAAATAAAAAGAAAAGAAGATTATAGGAAAAGAAACGAAAAAAAATAATAGAAAAAGAACAAAAGAATGGGAAAGAAAGGACTAATGAAAGCGCGTGGACATGAAGCGAGTAAGAGAAATGAATGGAACATACAAAAATGACAATAAAAAAAATGGTGTGCCTAAGTGGGAATATTGGTAGTTAAACCGACATTGACTCTAAACCAAAAAGACCGATTTTTTTTTATCACGTCCATGTCGACTTGCTGTTTTAATATATTTTTTTGTTAAGAATTACGTATTTTCTTCCATTGCCAGAGGTCAAAAAGAGGAAGAGAAAAAAAAAAGAAGGAAAGAAACAAGGTGAACAGAGGAAGAGAAAAAGGATGGGAAAAAGGAAGAGAAGAAAAGAAAGAAAGAAAGTAAGCGGAAAGCAGAAAGAGAAAAAGGAAATGCAATGAAAGACGATAGAAAGAAAACAGAGGAGGAGAGTAAGAAAAATAGATATGAAGTAGAAAGAAAAGAAAAAAGAAGAAAAAAGCGACAAAAGAAATAATAGAGGGGGGTAAGAGAAGAGAGGAAGGAAAGAGAAAAAGGAAGAGAGTAGAGGAAGAGAAAGTAAAGAGTGGTTGGAAAGGAGAGGAGAGGAAAGAAAAGACGACAGACAGCGAAGTAGGAGAGGAAGTAGGAGGAAAAGAGCGAAGGGAGATGAGAAGAAAGGAGGTGGAGTAGAAGAAGGGAAGAAGCGAGAAGAGGAAGGAGGAGGAGTAGTTGCGGAAGAAATGGAGAAGAAAAGAAAGAGAAAAAGAATGGGAAATAAAGAGAAAGAAAGCGAAGAAGTAAGAAAAAGAAAGAGACAAATAAAAAGAAAATGAAATGGAAAAGCGAAAGAATGGGAAAAAAAGAAAGAAAAAAAACAAAGGAAAAAAAGTCTGAAAGAAGAGAGAAAAAGAGAGAGAGAGTTAGAGAGAGAGAGAGAGAGAGAAAGAGAGAGAGAGAGTTAGACTAGTAGAACAAAAAGAGAAAGAGGAAGGGAAAAGAAACAGGAGAGAAAGAGAGAAAATTGAATAAAGAAGCAAACGATAACATAACCGGAAACAATGAGGGCTGAAATTTAAAAAAAGAAAAAAAAAAGCTCAGTGGCTGAAATATGTTCAGCTTCATTAGAAAAATAATTGTTATCTCACAGTGCCGTACTATCGGTGTTCAAACCCAGTTAAAAGCAGAAATTACTCACTCCTCTTGAAAGACTGGTGGAGCACAATCTTCCTTGCTTTTCTATATTAAAGTATAATTATCCACTAGAGGTGCACATTAACATTTTAACTCTGGTCCCAGGGAACCAATATCTTCCCCGGGAGGAGACTAGCGTCATCAGCTGGTGTCAGAGGTATCCCCAAAAAGGGAATTGCTACATTTTAACACTGACAGTCAAACAAGAACAGACGCACAATAAACAGACATATATTTAAGGACAGACAGACAACAAAGAGACAAACAACAATAAAAAAAAATATACAGACAAAAAGAAAACAACGGATATACAATAGACAGGAATATATCAGTAGACAGGCAGGCAGACAGGTAGACAAGAAAAGACATATAAATAGACAGACGAGAAGGGGCATATAACAAACAGATATACATCTAGCGGCAGACTTACAAGAACAAGCATACCATAAGCAGACATACATCTATTGACAGACATACAATGAACTAACATACATCTAGCGATAGACATACAATAAACAGACATATATTTTTATTAGCAGTCATGCAATAAAGAGACAACCAACAATAAAAAAATAAAAAAACAGACAAAAAGAAAACAACGGATATACAATAGACAGGAATATATAGACAGACAGACAGGTAGACCAGAAAAGACATATAAATAGATATACATTCATAGACAGACAAGAAGAGACATATAATAAACAGATCTACATCTATAGACAGACAGATAAGAACAAACATGACATAAGCAGACATACATCTATAGACAGACATGCAATAAACAGACATATATCTAGCGATAGACATACATACATTAACATACAACTAGAGAGAGAGAGAGAGAGAGAGAGAGAGGCATACAATAGACAGACATATATCTATAGATATAAACATACATACATTTATAGACAGACATAAAATAAACAGACACACATCTATAGGCGGACAGACATACAATAAACAGACATACATCTATAGACAGACAGCACTACATTAAACAGACGTACATCTATAGACATACATATAATAAACGGGCATACATTTATAGACAGACATACAATAAACAGACATACATCTATAGAAAGGCATACAATAAACAGACATACATCTATGGACAGACAGACATACAATAAACAGACATACATCTATGGACCGACATACAATAAACATGCATACACCTATAGACAGACATACAATAAACAGACATACATCTATTGACAGACATACAATAAGCATGCATACATTTATAAACAGACAGATATACAATAAATAGACAGACATACAATAAACATACATACATCTATAGATAGAGAGACACATAAACAGACATACATTTATAGACATACAGACAATAAACAGACATACAATAAACGTATATACGTTTAGATAGGCAGACATACAATAAACAGATATACATCGATAGACAGATATACAATAAGCATGCATACATTTATAGACAGATATACATACAATAAACAGACATACATCTATAGACCAAGAGACACACAAAAAACAGATATACATCTATAGACAGAATGACAGGCAATAAACAGACGTACATTTATAGACGGACAGACAATAAATAGACATACATTTATAGACAGACAGACAATAAACAGACATGCAATAAACTTATATACATATATAGATAGACAGACATACAATAAACAGACATACATCTATAGACAGACAGTAAATAATATAGACACACAGAAATGAAAAGAAATAGACTGAGAAAAAGTGATGAAGACATGGAAATAGAGAGATAACAATCGACAGAGAGAGAGAGAGAGAGAGACTGAAAAGAAGAGAAAAATATAAGAACAGACAGAGACAAAAAAGCACACATTTTTCTCGATTCTTGTCTATTTCCCTGTCTCAGTCTGACTGTTACGCAGATAGATAGATAGATAGATAGATAGATAGATAGATAGATAGATAGATAGATAGATAGATGAGAACAGACTGAGATAGACAGACAGATAGATAGATAGATAGATAGATAGATAGATAGATAGATAAAGAACAGACATAGACTAGGAGACAGACAAGAGATAGACAGACAATAGCAGGCATAGACAGATATAGGGACAGGCAAGAACAGACTTCCGGAGATAGACAGATAAAAGCCATAGAGAGATAGACAGACAAAAACAGTCACAGACAGGGAAATAAACAACCAAAAACACTCATAGGCAGGTAAATAGACGGACAAGAACAAACTTAGACAGTGGGATAGACAGACAAAAACAGCCATCGACAGGGAGATCGACAAAGAAAAAGGGTCATTGATAAAGTAAACAAAACAGCCGTAGAGAGATAGACAAGAACTGACGTAGACACAGATAAGAACAGACATAATGAGATAGACAAGAAAGAACATAGACACATAGACAAGAAGAGAGAGAGAGAGAAAGGGGCGGGGAGACGGCAAGGACACACACCATCAGGGAGATCGACAAAGACATAAACAAATAAAAGCAAAGAGAGATAGCGAAACAAAAAATAGACATAGAGAGGCAGACAAGCAAAACTGCTGTAAACAAGGAGATCGACAGACGAAAACATACATAGAGAGTTAAGAATAGACGAAGACGCACAGACAAATATAGTGTGATAGAAGGATAAGAATAGACACAAAGAGAGAGAAAGATAAGGAAAGAGTTAGACAGAAAGAGAGAGAGAGAGAGAGAAAGAGAAGGAGAGAGTTAGAAAGAAAGACAGAGTTAGAGAGAACGAGTGAGAGATAGAAAGAAAGAGAAAGTTAGAGAGCTAGAGAAAGAGAGTTAGAGAGAGAGAAAAAGAAAGATAGAGAGAGGAAGGGTGAGAGTAAAGAGAGAAATAGAGAGAGTTAGATAGATAGAGAAAGGGAGTTAGAGAGAAAGGGAGTTAGAGAGAAAGAGAGTTTGAAAGGGAGAAAGAGAGAGTGAGAGTTAGAGAGAGAGAGAGAGAGTTAGAGGGAGGAAGTTAGAGGGATAGAGAAAGAGAGTTAGAAAGAGAGAGATAGTTAAAGAGGAAGTGGGGGAGTTAGAGAGAGAGAGAGAGAGAGTTAGAGGGAGAGTTAGAGAGAGATCGTCAAGAACAAACATCGCCAGGTAGATCGACAAATAAAACCTCCAAAAATGACAAAAAATGACATGGATAAATAAACAAGAGCTGACATAGACAATCAGATAGACAGGGAAGAATAGACGTAGACAGACACGAAGAGACATAGACAGACAGACAGACAAGGACAGTCATAGACACAGACGTAGACGGATAGACAGACAGACAGACAAACAAGAAGAGACCTGAGATACTAAGCAAGCTGTGTACGAATCGACCTAAATGGATACATACTTATAAAAACAGGCAAGGATATGACCAGATTTTGAAAGACAGAAAAGCACAGGCCATATCGATTGTCAGGTTGAGAATATTGGGAAATGTTTGTCCCAGTTCTCACGTGTGCGTCCGGGTAGCCATGTTAAAACTGTCATTTGTCGCATGCTACCCCCGCCACACACCGCGCGAAGCAGATAAACGCCATCCATGTTGAAGCTTTTACAAGAGCAAAAATGCACCCATTGCTCTGATGTAGGTATTTACTCAGCATATCAATGCTACTCGTCCATGTGGTTCGATTTTCATGTTTGTAGGAGGGAAGATCGAACTCAAAATCTATAGCTGTTGAAAGAAGCTTGTTAACCGCTACATATCTCCAGGTTCTAATGCTAAATGTAGATATGAATATACATAGGCGCATTAGATATATACACTTGTGCGTATCGATAGGACACACACACACACACACACACACACACACACACACACACACACACACACACACACACACATATATATATATGTACATTTCATTAAATAAGACAAACAAGGTGCTTTGTTGAAGTTTTTTATATACAATTTCTCATGTGATCTAATATTTTTTTTTCTTTTCGGATGATAAATTATATAAAAACTGTTCAATTGTTCTTTTTATCCGAGCGCTTTCGGCTATACATTTAACCATTTTCAAGGTTGAAATATATTAACTGTTAACAAGAAATAGATTGTTGTATATATGTATTTACATAATGTTTTCATTTTCAAAACACGGTCAAGATATTTAAAACCTCTAAAATTATAGTTAAAAATAATTCACTTCCTAGAACAAAATTAGATAGGACAAATATTATTTACGAATTTAAATATCCATTAAGGAATTGTATTCCCGATCAATCAAAATTCGTAAATAATTATATAGGCCACACTACAACATGTTTGACACGAAGACTCACATTACATTTTTCTGACCATAGCTCAGTTAGGTCTCATTTAAATATTCATGGAGACCTACCGGACACTATTCGTAACTTGTTGACAACACAAATATATGAACACCATCTACATGCAAAAAAGGCTAAAAATAATGGAAGCTTTATTAATAAAAACAAAATAAAAAACAACACTCAATAATATCAACTATGAACATGGACACAATATCTTAAATCAAAACATCTTGTCTGTCGTATTCAATAAAATGTGCATGAAAGAAGGATTGCTGCCTAAATACACAAATATATATATATATATATGTGTGTGTGTGTGTGTGTGTGTGTGTTTAAATGAATAACCAATATTTGCTTGTTCCATAACTAGTAACTTAATAAAGTGCTTAATAGAATAACCTAGAGTTAAGATTATTATACTAGTAACTATACTCGGTTGGTGAAAAAAAAACGAGTATAGTTACTAGCATAATATATATATATATATATATATATATATATATATATATATATATATATATATATATATATATTAAGTTTAGATCATATGGTTTTTTTTTTGTTTTTTTTTGTTTTTGTGCATAGTGTCACCACAAATGTATCCACACGTTTCTGGTGTCTGTTTTTTTTAATTTTAATTTTAGGTCAGCAAATCGGTAGCGAATTATGCATCTGAAAATAATTCATATTTATCTGTATCTCACTCATTTAAACTGTTATTTAACTCCACTCTTTAGAACTTCTCTCTGTTAAATTTGAATCCCCACCTTCACCTTTAGGCCTTCCTGTTCTTCTTTCTTCTGATACACCTCTCTCTAGAGCTTTCATACATTTCCCTCTCACACTTGTTTCCCACTCCCACACATACAATCTCATTAAAATTTTGCTTATTATACCCGGAGTTATATTTTCCGATTTCTTTTTGAATTTGTAGGTCTGATGAATTGGATCGTAATTACGATTCCAATGTAATAAATTATAACCATGGAATATTAGTGTTTTGGGCTTTATATATATATATATATATATATATATATATATATATATATATATATATATATATATATATATTAGCGTAGATAAACAGCTGGATGGCTAAGTTAATATGGGGAATGGAATATATGCATTATGTACATCGGCAGATATAGAAAAAGTTACGTAAGAAAAGTGCAGGCAGGTTGAATCGGTTCGGAGAAAGGTGAATGCATGTGTACGGTAGGATCTTGGAGGGAAAGATCCGAAAATGCTATCTTTTCAGAACGGAGAAATCGAATATCGAATATGACAGGTGCCAGTAGAGTCAGTAGAACTCAGCTCTTTCTTTGAATTGGGAGTGAGCGAGATGTCCGCCTGCGTTGTGACCGTAGTTATCGTCTGGTTTCTTTAGGTCGCGTTGTGAGGCTTCGTCGAGGCGTTTTGGCTTTAGTTTTGGCGGGAAAAATGGTTCGGCATGTCAAAGAAAGTAAGGAGAGAAAACCATATATATATATATATATATATATATATATATATATATATATATATATAAAGGTGGTGATGAAAGTGTATGCGGGAGAAGATAGAGAAGAGGAAAGTGAAGATACTGAAAAGGAAAAAGATAAAAAGAAAATAAAGTGTGTAAGTAGGAACAAGAGAAAAAAAGCACGAAAAATTAAAAGAGGGTTGATGATAGCTGGAAAGAAATTACATCTAAAAAGAAAAAAATTGTACCCTGGAAAAGGCGTATGGTCATCTGAATTCTTTGGGTCACGTTGTCAGGCTTCATCAAAGCGTTTAGTTAGAAAGATGGCGTAGACTGATCAGAAGAAAAAGAGACAAAAAAAAAAAAAAAAAAAAAATCCGGTAGGGGTGATTGAAAATGAATTATGGGAAAGTGAAATAATAAAGCTGGAAAAGAAAGTTCAAAGAAAAATACTAGTGAGGGTAGGCATATTCCCTCCCCACAAAAAAAAAAAAAAAAAAAGAAAAGGAAAAAAATATGAAAAGAAGAGGATGAAGAATAAAATAGAGAAGCAAAATGAATAGAAAAAGCAAAGAATATAAAAGGGGTTTCGAAAGAGGAAAGAAAGTTCGGATTTGCAGGATGAGTTGAAAAGAAGAAAGAAAAGAGAGAAAAGTAAAAGAGTCAGACAAAAAGAAGATAGAAAGAGAAGAGAGGAAGGATAGAAATAAAGACAAAAAAGAATAAAACAATGAGAGACAGACAGATAGATAGATAGATAGATAGATAGATAGATAGATAGATAGATAGATAGATAGAGAGATAGATAGATAGATAGATAGTCAACAAACACACACACACATATATATATATATATATAGAGAGAGAGAGAGTGAGATATGGTCAACAAATAATGATAGACAGACAGATAAATAAGATCCATAGAAGTTCGAAAGACAATGAGATAGTTCGATCGATAAAAGGCATACATTAAGATAGATAGATAGATAGAGAGAGAGATATATATAGAGAGAGATAGATAGATAGATAATGAAAAATTTGAGATAAATAGATGGTCAACAAACAATTGTGTACATATATATATATATATATATATATATATATATATATATATAGAGAGAGAGAGAGAGAGAGAGAGAGAGAGAATGAGATAGATTGATCGATCGATAAAAGTCATACAATTAGATAGATAGATAGATAGATAGATAGATAGATAGATAGATAGTGACCAGACTTTGATAGATAACAAACAGATTGCGACAGATAGATATTGAACAATCTGAGATAGATAGATAGATAGATAGATAGATAGATAGATAGATAGATAGATAGATAGATCGATAGATATTGAACCATTTGAGATTGATAGATAGATAGATAGTGTACAGACTTTGATAAATAGATAACGAACAGATTTAGATAGATAGATAGATAGATAGATAGATAGATAGATAGATAGATAGATAGATAAAGAAAGAAAGAAAGAAGAGACGGATAAGTTTGACAAAATATAAGAATAAAATAATAATATATAAATATTAATCTACATAAAATGTGTTGGTATGATAAATAGGAGGCCGTAGTGGAAATCCATTAGACGTAAATGTATTTTTCTTACACGTTCAGATTTACCTCTTTCGTGTCTCTCTTCAGATGTTCATCCGTCTATCTTCTCCAATTTTACTTGCTACTCTCTTTTTAGGTGTTCGTCTCTCCGTCTCTCTTTTATCCATTTCTTATTAGATGTTTCTGTCTCTCTTCCCGACTTTTACCTTTTCCCTTTTAGCTTTCGATGTTCATCCTTCTCTCTTCTTACTTCTCTCAGTTTTACGTCTCACACGTCTCTCTTTTCCTGTCTCTCTCTTTCTCTCCCTCTTCGGTTGTTCGTCTATCTCTCTTTTCTAGTGTTACCTCTTTCTCATTTCTTTTGAGATGTTTCTGTCTCTCTTCTACACTTTTACCTCTCCTCTTCTCTCTTTCGATGTTCTTCCTTCTCTTTTGTTACTCCTTTTTACCTCTTACACCACTCTCTTTCTTTCTCCCTCTCTCTTTTCAGTTCTTTGCCTGTCCGTCTCTCTTACCTAAATTTACCTCTTTCTCATTTGCCTTTAGATGTTTCTCTCTTTCCTCTTCACCTTACCTATTTTCTTCTCTATTTCGATATTCATCTGTTTCCCTTCTTATTGCTCCAGATTTTACCCCTCTCTCTTCCCCTCTCTCTCTCTCTCTCTCTCTCTCTCTCCAGTTGTTCGTCTGTCCATCTTTTTTTTAGGTTTACTTCTTTCTCATTTCCCTTTACATGTTTCTGTCTCTCTTCTCCACTTTCACCTCTTCCCTCCCCTCTTTCAATTTTCATCCTTCTCTCTTCTTACTTCTCCAAGTTTAACGTCTTAAACCTCTCTCTTTCTCTCTCCCCCTCTCTCTCTCTTTCTATGTATCTCTCTCTTGATTTTTTCGACTGTCTGTCCTTTATTTTAGGTTTACCCCCTTTTTATTTATTTTTAGATGTTTCTGTCTCTCTTCTCCATTTTTTCCTCTTCCCTTCTCTCTTTCGATGTTCATCCTTCTCTTTTCTTAATAATTTTTACCTCTTACCCCTCTTTTTTCAGTTCTCCCTCCTTCTTTTCAGTTGTTCTTCTGTCTGTCAGTCTCTCTTACCTAGGTTTACCTCTTTCTCGTTTCCCTTTAGATGTTTCTGTCTCTCTTTTACCTATTTTCTTCTCTCTCTCGATGTTCATCCGTTTCTCTTCTTACTCCTTTATTTTTACCTCTTGCTTCTCGCTCTCTCTCCCTCTCTCTCTCTCTCCCTTTCTCTCTTTTTCTCCCCCTCTCTCTCTCTCTCTTCATGCGTTCGTCAGCTCGTCTCTATTATCTAGGTTGACATCTTCCTTCTCTCTCTTCAGAGTTCTTTTTTTGTCTCTCTTCACTTTTACCTCTTGCCTCTCTCTCTCCATGTGTTCGTCTGTCCGTCTCACTCATCTAGTTTTACCTTTATCCCTTCTCTCTCTTAAAAAAAACAACTAATTTTCTGCTGTCCTGTCCTCTGCTGACTCGACTGGAAGAACATTGAAAAGCTGTAATTATAGGCGTGAAATGAAATCAGGAATAGGTGATCATGTATGGAGGGAAACGCTGTCACCAGTTCCTGTGACTGAAACGTTGTGGTAATAACAAAGATGAAAACAATAGTTCGAATTTAAGTAATAACTTTTCGTTCCAGAAATTCAGACGGACATTTTGCTATGGAAAAGAAATGTCTATGGCTTAGCCTAAACAAACTACAGAGAAGATGTTGAGAATACTATGGACTGAACATGTGAGCAATAACAAAAGATGAAATGGAAACAAAACGGACAAATACTTAGAATCAGAAAGAAACTATTGAAATTTCAAGGTTGCATAATGAAAAAAGCGGGCTTGGAGGATTTGACACTCACAGGACATATTGAAGGCAAGAAGGACAGAGGAGAGTCGCGAATAACTTACCTAACGAGCTTTTGGTTGGCAAAACAGAGATTATGAGAGATAGTGAAAAGACAAATAAAGTGTAACCCGGATATGAGACCCGGATATAAGAGAAACCCGGATATAAGAAAGATTTTTCTCTGGTCCCAAATTAGAGCCTGTGTTAATGTATATAAAATAGACCAAACCCGGATATAAGAGAAACCCGGATATAAGAGACTTCTCCAGTCCCGACAACTCTCTTATATCCGGGTTACACTGTATTGCTAAGGAGCAAGAGACATGAAGCTGTGGAGATTTATGATCTCTCACGTCTCGAAAGTAAACGGCATAAAGAAGAAGAAGAAGAAGAAGAAGAAGAAGAAGAAGAAGAAGAAGAAGAAGAAGAAGAAGAAAGAGAAGAAGAAGAAAAAGAAAAGAAAAAGAAGGAAAAAGAAAAGAAGAAAAAAGAGAAGAAAGAAAAGAAGAAAAAGAAGAAAAAGAAAAGAAGAAGTAAAAGAGAAGAAGAAGAAAAAGAAGAAGAAATGAAAAAGAAGAAAGAAAGGAAGAAGAAAAAATAGAAGAAGAAAAGAAAAAGAAAAGAAAAGAAAAAGAAAAGAAGAAAAAGAGAAAAATAAGAAAAGAAAAGGAAGAAAAAAGAAAATAATAATAATAATAATAATAATAAGAAGAAGAAGAAGAAGAAGAAAAAGAAAGATCTTGCTGTAAGAAATTAGATATTTAGAAGAGTTATTTGTATAAAAAAAAATAATGCCACTGTTATAGCGTAAACAAATAATTAAAAATGAAAACATTTTCTGTTAACGAAATAGTTATCTCCCTTGGATTTTAAAACTAAATTATTATTAATTTTTTTTATAAATGTTACATTTGAAAATAAAGAATAGAGAGAAATTAATTCGTTAAATTAGAAAGGATGTTAAAAAAAAAATTATGTTTTAAACTAATTTTTTTCTTGCTGATTGGTTGATTTGTAAAATAAATTTTTAGTGATAAAAAATTGGAAGAAAGCAGACGATAGAAAAAAAATACTGTCAGTCGGTGAAGAATTTGTAAAAGAAAGTCGATGTGCTAATTATGGCTCCGAGTGATTTTTTTTCAAATGTTTTTTTCTTTCACTGGAAAATTGGAAGGGAATAATGAAGAAATTGTTTTTTTGATACGGAAAAGAGAAGGAAAAAGTGAGTACTTAATCTTTTATTTTTTTTTCTTGAATGAATGAAAGTTTCTTGGAGTTGATCAAACTTCTAGTTATTCAAAAGAGAAAGAACTTTGTTTTTGATATTTTTTGTTTATAATATTTTCGTGGGGAAGCACTTTAAAAATGAAAAAAAGAAAGAAAGAAAAACAGATATAAAAAATGCAGGAAGAATTTGCCTAGATTTTATTTATTTATTTTAAAAAAAAAAAACATTTTGTTTGACCATGAACGACCGAAGAAAAATCTGTCTGAGATTTTTTACAAGAGGAGTTTTCGAGCCAGAGAGTACGGATGCCCTTCCCTCACCAGCTTTCATTGTATTTATCGGTTACGCAACCTGGTCTGCTGTAATGAAAGCATCTTGTTCACGTGTATCGACTAGGGTACCGTAACTCATTTTAAAGTTGAAATTGATATTATAACCGTAAGTTCTATGCTAACAGTTTATTTTCTCGCACTTCTCGCCTGTGGAACTCCCTTGCTTTCCAGTCAAATTTGATCTTCGTCAATCGTTATCTTCTGTTTTCTTAATTCCTGTTCTTTTTAGTTTCCTCTCTCCTTAATAACGTTTTTCTTTTTCTCATATTCTTTCACACTCAGTAACCCCATTGCGTCTTAGTGACTTTATTGCCTTGTTTGGGGTGAAATGATTTTTAAAATAGTAATAGTAGTAAGAGGTAACGCACGACAATGGATATGAGACATTGTTAAAGTGAAAATGAGGATTTATATTGCTTTCGCCTCGAACAATATGCAAGACTATTGTCTCGGACTTATAGCGCACACGTAAGGGGTGGTATGACGTGGGTGTGTCAGAGAAAGATCACTCAAGGAAGATATCCATGTGTATGAATTTTATCGCATATGGCTTAATTGGGGCAAGAAATGGCTTGTAAATTTCAATGTCCCCCAAAAAAACGAAACTGCTATCTTTTTTTTACATTATTTACATTATTCAGACTATTGTCCTCATCTTTGTCGCCATATTTATTACAACGTTTCGGTCGTTGTACGCTCCACCCTTCTTCAGGTGGTTGGAATGTCGGACTGAACCCTTTATTTCGCTCACTGGAGTAGACTGTTCTAGTTCCACGTGCCATGTTTAATGCTCCTGTTAATTCCCCTCTCCAAGTTCTCCACCGCTTTAACAGGGTATTGAACTCACACTCTTTGGGTCCTGTCACAGGATCTAACTAACGCTTTTATCCACTGTGCCATGTGTTCTTGTGCATAATACCTCATCTCAGAAATATAGACAGATATAATTTTTTAATCACCACAGATAACCATTTTTGATTTCCATCAGCATGACTGATGCTAACTTCAAGTAGAGCAACTCATTGTATCTTCTTGATTTCAAGTTTTTCCACTGACAAGAAGTAGAGTGACTATATTGAATCAATTGGTAGGTTTGCTGCTAAGAAAGTTGTTTCACTGTGTCGTGCCAGACAGTTTTTCTAGCCAGAATCGATCTTACACATTTATAAATCTACCATTCCTCAGTGCATGGAGCTCCTTTAATATATCGTGAAAATATCCGAAGAAGGGTCTGTAATGTTATCGGTCCTGACCTGGCATCTCGACTTCAGTCAATTTCCCACCGCTGTGACGTGGCTTCCCTCTGTCTTTTCTATAAATATTTTCATGACAATTTTTTTTAATGAAATTTCCTCCTTTGTATCTTGACTGCAGGAATTTAAAAGTGCTACTAGATTGGCAATTAGGTCTCATCGTTTTACTGTTGAAATAACTAAATGTAACCATAACTTCTATTCTAATAGTTTTTTTCTCGCACTTATCGCCTGCGGAACTCTCTTCCGGTTTCTTGATTCTCTAACACC